CAGCTCCTTGTCACTAGGAGACCATACCATTAGCCTTTCTAATTGTACACGCACTAGCCCAAGAGTCAAACTGGACCCTGTATTTCCAACTTCTATGACTTTCCTTTAGAAAGCTTAAAAACCATAGATGATTTCTTTCCCTCCCTCATTCATGTCTCCTGGAAGCATGTGACAATATCTGATGATATTTGTGGTTGTCACAACAGGGAAAGAGTGCTATTAGGATATGGTGGGTAGAGGTCAGGGGAAAGGCTAAACATCTTAAAAATGCAGAAGAAAACCTACACACTACAAAGAATTTTCTAGACCAAAATGTCAAATTGTGCAGAGGTTGAGAAACTGCTTTGATAAACTGTTAAAAACTAAACCAAAATAAGACAAAGAACACCTTCAACTCCTATTAGAATTCAGTCTGGTTATTGTCTCGTATTTAAAATGTTTCATAATCTGATCTAGTTTAACCACCCACTCTCACTAGATGGTTTCCTCAAACGCTTCAGGGAAGATGTAAATAAATGTCAAACTCTAACACAGAAGGTCCTTATCACTTATGATCTCATTTTAAATTTATTATCACAATAGATTATATATTCTTGAAGGCCCTAAACACTCTATTTCCATTTTTGACCCAGGTCAGACATACCACAAAATACCAGCTTATGTTCATCTAGTTCTGTTTATATCAGTTCTTCTTATTTGATTATCCCCGTAAATTCATGACTAAGGGATAATTTTGTCTGTTTGAATGAAGGAAAATCAATTAAATTCTTGAGTAAGTCGGTGTTAAAGATTTTATCCATCTCTCTGAATCATACCTCTAGGTTTATCTGTAACTTTGTCAGGCAGGTGAACAGAGTTTTTTACTAGATTTCCAGTGAGTGCAAAACAAGTTAGAAAAGAGTATCTATAGGTTTGGAATTAATTTAAAAGAACAAAGATTAATTAATTAAGGAAAAAAGGACACTGGGGGAAATAACATGATCTTAGATTTGCAAGCAGAATAGGAAATTACAGAGAAGGTATTTCAAAATCCTAACTGCAAGAAACTCAGCAGGTACCATTCCATGAGACCTAGATTGGAGACCACCTTACGAAGCCTGGAAGTGTTCACAACTCAACATTAATGACAAGACCAAACTGAGGAAGAAATGAGGCAAATGATGCCAAAGGGAGGGATCCTAGCTGATGAAGAGATCTTACTATAAAAAATATGCATTTAAAAAAAAATGTAGGAAATGACATTGAATTCATGGAATACTTAAAAATCTTACAGCTGAAATTACAAATAACCAGGTTTGCAGATGCTAGTAACAACCAAGGAGTCTTAAAGACATACTGTTGTTATTGTTAAGTGCCGTCGAGTCACAGGCAACTCATAGCAACCCTATGAACGAAGTCCTGGACACTTCCTGTATAACTTTCATCCTTTCTCCAGGTTCACAGGGTTTCCAGAGGCAAGCTACTGTGGAAGTAGATGCCACTCCTGCTTCCAAGTTTTAGGACTAGATGTATCTAATCCAAGGTAACATAAAGACTGAGGTATAAATATTAATTCTACCCCTGCAGCCAAAGTCATACTGAAGATTTACAATAAAAACACAATCTATCCAACCATTACCTGAGAGACAATGAGGAGTGAGAAAAAGAATAAAACTCAAGAGTGTTTCATGACTCTCAAATGCCTGTGTTTGAACCTGGCTTTATTCATGCTACCTTATCTTGTTGCTGCTGTATACACTCTGAACTGACCCATAGCTGACTCTCCAGTAGCTTTTCAGAGGCAGTAAAATGACATGGGAGAAGGAGACAGTTTATCTTTCTTCTGTGGAGCAGATGGTGAATCAGAAGCACATACCTTCTATCTTATCTTTTTGTGCCAAAAAGTTGCAACAAATTTATAGGGTTTTCAAGGGAGTAATCTCAAGGGTGGAGACTGCCCATCCTTCTCCAGCAGAGCAACAGGGTGGGGCATGGGACCATTGGATTGCAGAGCAGATTCTTACCACCAGGAGCTCCTTATCTTATCTCAGCCTAGTCATTTAAACTGAAATAGGCATATGCATTTGGTCTTCTAGAAATAAGGCTGAAATATCTACCTTACAGGATTATTTGGATGGTTAATTGGCCACTGTAGGTAGAATAGTGAAGTGTTGGACACAGAGTGAGAAAACTGCTAGTTCCCTTCAGCCTTTTCTCTCAGTTCTTCTCAAGCGGGAAAAGGCTAGAAAATGGACAGTGGCTAGCTGCTCTTGAATACATCCTAAAGAAACCAGAGCTATGACTCAAACAGATGTATGCACACCCATGTTTATTGCTGCATTACTCACAATAGCAAAGAGATGGACACAACCCAAATGCCCATCAACAAACGAATGGTCAGAATATTCACACAATTAAATACTAAATAGTACTGAAAACAATGAACCTTTAAAGTATTGCCCATCAACAAACGAATGGTCAGAATATTCACACAATTAAATACTAAATAGTACTGAAAACAATGAACCTTTAAAGTATTACACAACATGGGAGAGCCTGGAGAACATTATGCTGACTGATATATCTCAGTCACAAAAGGATACATACTGCATAACACTACTGTTATAAAATAGGACAGACATGGGGGGGTGGGGAGAGAATGGGAAAAGAATGGATAGACAATGAACACTGCATTGGAACTGATGAGGGAAAGAACTGTTTAAAAGGAATATATGGTTAGGCATTGTATGTATGACAACAATCTCAAACAAGAGGTGCAATGCAAAGTGGACTGGGGGAGGGGGAAAAAGGGAGGGAGGAAAATGTTCAACAATGAATTAATTTTTAAAAAACCTGTGATGCATTGAGAAAATCTGTGGTCAAGGACTTCTCCCAGTGCTAAAGAGCAACAAAGTCAGTTTAAAGACTAAGGTGAGTCAGATCCAAGTCAGGGTCTTTTCAGCCACTTCCTCTCCATCTGAGAGCTAGCTGGACAATGACTAAGGAGACAGAAGCAGCAGTGATGCCTTTGAGTTGTGGTGTTGGAGAAGAGGTCAGAATATCTCACGGACACTCAAGAGAACAATTAGGTCTGCCCCGGAGAAAGTGAATCCAGGGTGCGCAACCGAAGCATGGATGGTGAAACTGTCTCACACACTTTGGGCAAGTCAGGAGAGGCCAGTCCTTGGAGAATGATATTATACTTGGAAAAGTGGAGCGTCAGAGCAAGGAAGATCTTCAAAGGGATGGACTGACATTGTTACAGTGACTGGGCTCATAGGTGGTGAGGATGGCACAGGATAGGGCAGAGTTCAGAGACATTGTTCATAGAGCTGCTATGAGGCAACCTGAAAGCACATTACAATAATCAGCCTCAACATGAAGTAAAGGCAGAGTCCCAAAGGTATCTGCATACAAATGAGAGTTACTGGCAGAAAAGTGAAGATTAAACACGTTGCCACTGAGTTCACAGACTCCAGCTAAAAATCACATGAGGGGAAACTGCCCCAATTTTCTCCAGGTGAGTTGCTTATGGATTTGAACCACAGGAGAGCTGCCACAAGAATGACTGTGAGGGGAAAGTTTAAATCAGACCCACATGACAGTGGGCTTGGCTGCAATCTTTACAAAAGCAGATCTCCATTTTTTCTCCTACCAAGTGGCTGGGGAACTGTGGTGGTCGAGTGGCAAGAACCTGCACTGCAATCCTAAAGACAAAACAGTTTGAATCCACCAGCTGCTCCACAGAAGGATGGGCAATCTCCTCCTATGAGATTTAATGCCTCTGTAAACCTGGAGGGTCAGTCATGAGTGGGTTCCAACTGAATTGCCCTTCTACCACATGAGGCCAAATCCTCCAAAATCCAGCCTTTTCTTCTGGATAGGTCTTTTTCCCTCTGTATTTTCTGTCTCTATATCTTTGCACTTCCTCCAAATTTTAGTAAAATTTCTCCAAAAAGTTGTTTTCACTTCCTCATCTCTCAGCTGACTTCCATTCCCATCACAGGACTGAAATATGTCAAATCCAACTGCATGCTTCTGTCTTCATTTTACCCAATACTTTAGGCTCTGACCTTGTATCCGTGAGACCAAAAGCAGACATACACGAGAAAGGATGCCTAGCTTAGTACAACAGAAATTTTAAAAAGAGCTTGTCCAGGGTAATTTCAGAATGAGTCAGCCGTTTGATGCACAAAGCTAATGTTATCATGCTTAGCAGCATAGCAGCAATACCCTCACTCACCTATGCACTATTCTATTTCATCTGTAACTCAGTTCCAAGTGTGTCATTTTCAAAATAAGAAAGGCTTTATACTATCATTACTGCTTCAATATGCAGCCTCCTGCGCTGGGAAACACTGCTATGTGGGAAGCCCGACAAATTACCAAGCCCCCTTTTTGCATGAAAACAACTTCGTTTTCATCTAAACTCAACATTCAAATATCCGATTGGCAGAGATAATACAGTACTACAACCTCATAGTTAGCTCATGAACTCATATGCAGATATTCTGACTAGTATATACTTTATGGAAGCTATGAAATCAGAAATGTAACTAGGCCACCCCTTTCCTCGGTTAAAGGGGGCATTCTAATGCTGGCACGCGCTGGAAAATGCTCTAGTTCTTAAACCTCCCCAACATGCAGGGAAATAATGAATAAAAAGGGGGTCATGAGTAGGAATTAGTTGGCTTTCCTTCCATTTACAACTACAAACCTCTGGATTTTGATTTCTTCTGTTCTCACTTCTCTTTGGCTCTAGAAGCCACTCCCTTCACCTCAACACGCAAAGACCCATCCATTTTTTTGTGCAGGGTTGCCTCTCTTACCCAACAAGGCCCCAGAAGGCCCGGCTGGGCAAATCTAATGTTTTCTTGCGTTAGTGGCAGCATCAAAGTGGAGCCCCCATCGTACTTCGTACACCACTGGTCACGATCAGGGCAGGAAGGGTGTGGGTCATATAAGAGCACCATGAGCCAGTCCTCCTACTTGCACCCTCCACGCCCCCCAGTTCCACTCACCCGCGTGGGACATGGGCGCGGTTAGGTTTCCGTAGCGCTCCTCGTTATAGATCACCACGGCTGAGGCGTTCCTCCGCGCCGCCACCAAGACTTTGTCCTTGAATGTGCAGCCCCCGCGCGCCACCAGAGCCACCCAGGGCGTAGCAGCCTGACCGCCAGACGCGGGCACGTGGAAGCGCGTATCGGGCGCGCAGCCGTCCGGGTGCCGGTCCAGTGTGCGCGGGACGCCCACCAGGCCCTGTGCACTCTCCTTGGGCGAGTTGTCACCGAAGCGACCGCTTTCCGAGACGCTCCGCACGGTCAGGTTCGTCTGTGGGTCTACGTACGCGGTGCTCACGAGGGCCGAGTACCACTCGAGCGCCCGGCCCCAGGCGCCAGGAGCGCTCAGCGCCAGGACTAGCAGCGCCAGCGCACCGCGGGCCCCGCCGCTGGTTGCCGGCCGCCGACACCAGGCCATAGCCGCGCCGCGGAGGTGTAGAAGAGGAGTCGGAGGCGAGAACCCGGCCGACTCCTGAGGGTGCGCAATACTGCAAGGCCGCCGAAGAACGAGAAGCGACGAGAAGCGGCGACCAGAAAGACCAGAACCCGCCGCCACTGCCGCCGCCTCCGCCGCCGAGCCGGAGGAGAGCGAGGCCCGCCGCGGGGCGGAGATCAGGGGGCGGAGCCGCGCGGCCGCGGGCTGAGCGTAGGCGCACACGCTCCTTGAGGGACGGGGAAAGGGGCGGGCCGGTAGGAGTGGGCGGGGCGGGGCCTGCAGCTCGGTTTGCAGACCCCTTGAGTTCACGGGAATGCGCCGGATTCCCTAGACTTGCTTATTTGGAGGTGCACATGGCATCCTAATGATCCCCAGAATCCCGATGGAGGCGATTTCGCGGTTACCCACACCACAGCATAAGAACTGTTGGGGGGGCTCCCTGAGGACGAGGCTGAGCTTGAGTAACAAGCTTAGGGCACCCCCGAAGCAAAGGGAAGTAACCCCTCCCCCCACCCCCACCCCGAGATGGTCTTGAGTGAGAGCCCATCAGAGAAAAGGGAAGCTTCTCTGGGAGCAGGCTGTGGGACCGCATTTGTCTAAAACCACTCTTCAGAAGTTACTGTGCAAGGCACGTGGCAGTTTGCTTTTTAGCTTGGTGGAGAGGAGGCTGTGCTGACTATAGAGCTATATCCTGAGTTGTAACTTGCTACTTTTCCTCCAAAACCGTAGCGGGGTGGAGGTGGAAATGAAAAGAATAGTAGAGGGGGTTTTTTTTACCCACAGCAAAACACATTTATAGATTTTTTTTGTCAGCAGTTTTGCAATGCTGATTCCTTATCGCTTCTTTCCAATATTAATTCACAACCTTTTTTTCTACAGTATTTTACGTATAATCTGTAATTCTGACATGAATATGAAATCAAAACTACCTCTTTAGATAAGTACTTAAGCTCTTTACAAGCTGGGGCAGGGATGGTATTTGTTATTTAGAAAGAAATACACTGAGTGATTTTAGACAGTATAAAACCAACGTGGGTACAAAGCCTACTGTTGCACAAAAACACCCCCAACTTGAGAACATTAATTTCTGACTGATTCATCTTCCTTATTTGAACAAAAGTCTATAATTGCGGGAAGTAGGTTGTCGCTAGCACCAAATGTTTTCGTTGTACCTTAAACCCTCCCACGTTTCCTATCTGGTTTTAGTCTTTCTTGCACTGCATTTTAAAACTGCTGTAACAAGGCTACATAAAAATTGCATCTAAAAAAAAATTGCATCTCCTCTCCTTTTCCACTGAAACGAATTTTAAAATGCAGCATGGGTCTCAACATTTCCCCTCCTGCTATAGCTAAAATAGGGAAGGTATTTTTCAGCCTTCTACTAGTCTGAGAAACAAACCCACCCAGAACCCTCCTCCCGCCTCCACTTCATGCTCCAGCAAAACTGAATGCTTTTGGTGCCCAGAACATGACTTTTAGTGTCATGCTGTCTTGCAAATCCATATCCTTCTTGAAATTACCTTCTGTCCTTCGCTCTAGGCATGGCAAATACCATTTTAATCATCAAATTTTAACTCTGAAGCCATTTCTTCTGCAAAACCTACTCTACACAAATTTATTTGCTTTTATTTCCCATGCTGCTTATATTTTGCTTACATATTTCTGTTGTGCCAACAGTTGTTGTTGTTGTTGTGTACCCTTTCATCAGAACTGATTGATAGCTTTATCTCCAGCAGGTTTTCAGATAGTATATCTGGCTTCCAGAGAGCACCTAGTGGATTTGAGCCCCATTCTTTTGGGTTGCCAGTGCAACTCCTTGCCACTCACCCACCAGAGTTCCCATTTACCAGCAATACTGTTGCCTAAATATCATGATCTAGCCCTTTTTGTGATATTGTACAGTCTTCTAACACATGACATACAGCCTCCTTAAACTCACTGGTGGATCAGTTTTGACTTAATTCCTACTGACAGTAATGAATTGTGTTTTTTAAATAGTATTATGAAGAGAGCAGGACTGGCTCATTGGTACAGTTGTCACTTTACACCTTGTGGTAGACCTGGGTTTAAGGCCCAGCCAGTATACCTCTTCAGTGAATGCTTATGCATTGCTATGACACTGAACAGGTTTCAATGGAGCTTCCAAGGTTAAGATAAACTAGGAAAGAATTCCGGGCAATTTACTTCTGAAGATCAACCAGTGACTGCCCTCTGGCTCAAACGCTCCCTCCCTAACCAGTCATGGGAATGGTGCAGAATGGTCTAGCGTTTTGTTCTTGTGCGTGTGTGGTCAGTGTGACTCACGCTCACTCAGACACAGTTAACAACTTCCCCAAAGAGAGTTCTTGAAAAATTAGTATTAAGAATGTATAAGTTTAGTGTATTGATGTATTTCAATCATTTGATATTATTCCTTTTTTTAAAAAAATTTATTATTAATTTCAGTGAAAATTTACAGAGACTTTGGGTTTCCATGCATTCATTGTTGCACCTCTCCCAACCTTCCCACCTAGTACACGACCCTCTTGGAAAAGTAAAAGAAAAATTCTTTCATTGTTTTGCAACCCCTCCCCCAGGTCCACTACACTATGCAGCCTTTGCTCTGGACTCGTGTCATGACAAAAATACCTAATCACATATCCCTTTTAAACTGTTTCCTCCCTTATCTGTTTCAATGCAGTATACATTATTGAACCCATCTTTCTCAGTCTCCCCCTAACCCCTATGTCAGTCCTGTTTTACAACAGTGGCACCATGCAGTATTTGTCCTTTTGTGACTGAGGTACTTCACTCAGCATAATGTCCTCCAGGTTCACCCATTTTGAATAATATTGCATAAGGTCCTTGTTTTTCAATGCAGTGTAGTATTCCATTGTGTGGATATACCACAGCTTCTCTATGATTTATTTGTTGATGGGCACTTAGGTTGTTTCCAACTCCTTGCTATTGTGAACAAAGCCACAATAAACATGGGTGTGCATATATCTGCTTGGATGTCAGTTATGGTCTCTTTGGGGTATATTCCCAGTAGTGGAATTGCTGGGTCAAATGGTATCTCTATTTGCAACTTTTTGAGAAAGCGCCATACCACCTTCCACAGTGGCTGTATCATTTTACACTCCCACCAATGGTGAATAAGGGTTCCAGTTTCTCCACAACCTCGCCAGCATTTGTTGCTTTCTGGTCTGTTAATTTTGCTATTCTCACGGGTGAGATGATATCTCATAGTTGTTTTGCATTTGATATCATTCTTACCCAAGCTTAAATGCTCATATCTCTGGCCATTGGAAGCCTTTCCAAGTTGGCTTTTAAATCAGTTTGTTAGGATTCCAATGTTCTTTGATACAGCCCTTACTTTCTAAAGTCAACCTAAAATCAGCAATTTTTTCCCCAAGGACTTCTCTTTGCTTTTAATTGTGCTGTTAGGTACCATCGAGTCAGCTTCAACTTGCAGTGATTCCGTGTCAATAGGAGAATGCCAGGTCGCCCACCATCCTCACAGTCCGTGTTGTGGTTAAGCCCACTGCTGGCAGTTGCCACATCGATCCATCTTGTTGTGATCTTCCTCTTCTCTGAACTTTCTGAGCATGAGGTCCTTCTTCAGTGATAACATAGCCCAAGTTTGTGCAACCAAATCTCCCCATCCTCTCCTTTTTTATTTTAAATAACATTTTATTTTAGTTGTTATTTTAAAAAAGTTTACAGGAAAGTTAGATCTTCATTCATTCATTCATTGTTACACATTTTACTCCCTCTCTCTCCCTTCCTCCTCCCCCAGTTCATATATATATATATATATATATATATATATTTCATTCATTATTGCACATTACTGCACAATTGTCTACCTCACTCCTCACCCCCTTCCCCAGTCCTCCTTCAATGATTGACCTCCTATTCTAGGCTACTGTCATACCTGATCCATCCTCTCTTCTAAAGAGCTTTCTGGCTAAACTTTTTCCAAGACAAATTTATTTGTTCTTTTGACAGTCCACAGTGTGTTTACTAACACACAATTCAAAGGCATCAGTTCTTCTTTGGTCTTTCATATTCATTGTCTACCTTTTACAAGCATATGAAGGACTTGGAAAGCCTTACCTTAGTCTCTTTTTTTTAAATTGTGATTTTTGTGAAAGTTTACAGAAAGGTTGGATCCTCACACATTCACTGATGCACACAGTTCTCTCTCCCCTAATTCACTTTGCAATGCACTTGCTCCAGATTGTTATTATACATAGAATGGCTACTCATATTTTCTTAGGGAGCTTTGGTGACTTAATGGCAAGATGCTGTGTTACAGTCCTGAAAGCACATGGTTTGAGGCCACCAGCTGCTCTGTGGGAGAAGGATGGGCAATCTCCTCCCATGCAATTAACTGACTCTGAAAACCCTCTGTAGGGTCTGCTATGAGTCAGTTCTGACTTGACAGTACACAACAACAACAACAAATGCTCCTTTCAGATAGTCCTCTTCATCTGTTCCAGTTCAATGTTCTTTATCTATCCACTCTTTTCCTGTTCTTTCCCCGGACTCTGTGTCAATCACATTTTATATCAGCAGTCTAATGCAGTATTTGTCCTTCTATAACTGAGATATGGCCTAGTGACAAGAAGCTGTGCTGCAGTCTCAAAGGCGAGGAGTTTGAATTCACAAACTGCTCCTTGGGAGAAGGATGGGCAATCTCCTCCCATGAGAGTAACTGCCTCTGAAACCCTTCTGGAGGGTCAGCTATGGGTAGGTACAGTATATAAGAACAACATGACTGAGATCTTTCACTCAGCATAATGTATTCCAGAGTCAACCATGTTGTATAGTGTTTTACACGTTCATGGTTCTTCAATGCTGCCTAACAGTCCATTGTGTGAATATACCAGTTTTTCTATCCATTCCTTTGTTGACAGGTATTTAGTTGGATGCTTCCTTATCTTCACTATTGTGAGGAATTCTGCAGTAAACGCAGGTGTACATATTCTCCTTAATCTTTAAAGTGAGTCTTCGTCCCACCCT